TATAACCAGCACAAAGTGGTTACGAGGTTGGTCCCAGGGATTGAGCCCGTGCTGAAAGAATTAATCTAGTTTCCATGGCATTACTATAAAAGAAGTTATTAACACTGTTTTAGAGAAGAAAATCAAGGGTTGCGATTCTAAAGTTAATGTTGGTTATTACTGGGTGTCACTTTCTTACTTGCTGTGGTTTGTTGGTGTGTATTGACAAAAAGTCATATCTAATCAAAAACACCTTAGGTGTGGAAAAATGATGCTGCCAAAAGAGGATTGAGTGTGTGACTTAAAAAAATGAAACCATTGATAAAAATTTTACAGCAAATATTCATTCATTAGTTAGCTACGCTATATTTTATGTTTTACCAACCAACATAACCAAAGTTGAACAAAAAATATGGCATGTCTAACTAATGAAGAAATATTTGCTGTAAAATTCTTATCAATGCTGCAAATGTAGCTACCAGTTGGGATGCCAATTTTGATTTCATTCCTTTAAGTTGAACACTCAATCTTTTTTTGGCCATACCTTTTTCCATACATAAGGTGTTTTTAATTAGATAATTATATTCACAAGGGATGATACTTTTTTCTATAAACCTATGCTTTGTAATGGGCAGAAAAATTCTTAAAAAAATTGTTTGTTTTTTTTAAAGGCAAAACATCTTGGAGCTGCACTGAAACTTTCTTTCATATTTCTTTGCAAAATACACTAAATAAATGTTCCAAAATGAAATAGTTATAACCATTATTTAAACTTAACCTTTAAAATTTGATATGCAATGAAGCATCCAGCATCTGAAAGGATTAAACTCAAATTACTTAAAGTTGCTTTATAGTAGCTTTACTATCACTAAGAGAAAATCATATGTATACCTCGACTTCTACATGACATCTTTATCTGTTAATTTGGTCATTGCATCCAATTAGTAATATTCAAAAGAATTAAAGTAATACTCCAAATAAGCTTCCAACACATGTACAGCCTTATATTTTCTCCTCAAACTACATAAGAGCCATTTCCTAGAAGTTATTTCTTTTCATAAAAAATTCGTACCTGTACAAAGATGCAGCCTCATGAGCTTCCATAGGAACCAAACGAGCAAATATATCGGGTCCACTAACATCAGGATCAGATGGGCTGAAGGGAATCCCTTTCACTAGAGAAGCACCTTTTATTTCAGGCAGAGATTCCACAGGCAGTACCTTTTCATGGTAAACAAAGTCATTTTCTTTCTTTGCAGCATTTTGTCTGAAAAATTTGGGTAATATATAAACTTATAATTAATGCTTTAGCTGAATCTCTTAATTCATTACACATAACAATACAAATTATGGGCATCCTACATAGGTAGGTTAATTTCTTACAAATTTTATCACAGCAGTAACGCTAGGATCACTCTGTTAAAAATTCTGTTTAATTTTTAAATACCCAAAATATGTGAAGAATTTCTATTCTGTTCCTCAAATGTGTTACATTCTTCATAAAAAAATTATAAAAAAGGCTACTGTCATAAGGTTTTGCACTTGTTTAATTTATAGCTCTTTAAAATACCTTTGTTGTGATTTTTGATATTATGACAATTCAAAATACATTAATTTTTCTAATTTGAGCTAGTTTTAAGTTGAGAACAATAGTTGAAACTCAAATACTCCTACTTGACTAATGTTACATAATGAATATAAAACACAATAGATTATTGAACTTACTTTCCACCAACAACATCCATAGTAAAAGTAAGAGCATCATTAAGGTCTTCTCTTTCAATTGACTGAAAAATGTTGAAATTCAAAAATATGTTAATAATACAGAAATAATCATTTGTAGGAAGTATTATAAATGATTTATAACAAAACTGAAACATTTAAAAATATTTTTTTTTGATAACATAATATACCCTTGAAAAAAATACTTTATCAGGTTACAAATATACTACCAGACCCATGTTGTAACTTCAAATGCATATGACCAGAACAGATGTTATAATATTAAATTTACAACCACAACTAAGTTATAGTTTCAAACACATTACCAGAATTAGACAATAGCTTCAAGCACACTTCTAGAACCAGACCAACAGTTTCAAAAAACTATCAGAACCAAGCCATACCTTCAAACATGTTTGAAGGTATGGCTTGGTTATGTTAGCCTATAGCATAGTCCTAGTAGTAGTTTTAAGTTATAACCTAGTCCGGTTAGTGTGTTTGAAGATGTGGCCTGATTCTGGTAGGGCTTCAGACACACTACCAGAATTGAGCCATGGCTTCAGACACACTACCAGAATTGAGCCATGGCTTCAGACACACTACCAGAATTGAGCCATGGCTTCAGACACACTACCAGAATTGAGCCATGGCTT